CCCAGGATGCGAAAAATCAGGGGGCGAGCACTGTGCCAGGAGAATTTTTTTTTCCTTTTCATGTTGAGGGAGATGGGGTCTCTGCTGAGAGAAACATCCCAGCGCATCCTCTCTCGGTGAGGACTGGGGACTGGAACACAGGTCTGAAGTGGGGAGGAAGAAAGATGGAAGGAAGGAAGGAAGGAAGGAAGGAAGGAAGGAAGGAAGGAAGGAGAAAAGGAAAGGAAAGGAAAGGAAAGGAAAGGAAAGGAAAGGAAAGGAAAGGAAAGGAAAGGAAAGAGAAGACCGCATTGTGAAAATGTTGTGAAGAAGGTAGAGAAAGAAAAATCTCAGCATAGGGGTGGGACCTGGGCATTTCTCAGGCAGCTGGATGTCAGCCTTGATCTTCCACTCCTGCTTTGGTATGGTCAGCTGAGAGTGCTCCCTCATGACTCTTCCACTCCTGCTTTGGTATGGTCAGCTGAGAGTGCTCCCTCATGACTCCTCCACTCTTGCTTTGGTATGGTCAGCTGAGAGTGCTCCCTCATGACTCCTCCACTCCTGCTTTGGTATGGTCAGCTGAGAGTGCTCCCTCATGATTTGTCTCAGTCCTCTCTCCCAGAGTCTCGCCTCTCCCTTCTTTTTCCTTTTTACTCTCTCTGAATGAGCACAGGGGCTCTGCAGGACACACCGCGCCATCTCAGCATGTGCGGGGAAACGGGATTCTGAAGGTCTTGAAAGGCATTTTAACAAGAAAACATTAGCCTGCGAAAATAACGTTATCCGGTGACATATGATGCTCTCAGAATGCTTTTTCGGTTTCTGTTGTGGGTGCATGTGTGGAGAACTTAAAGTTCCAATAAACAGAACAGATGGATTACCCTAAGCATGGAAGTTAGAAGTCCTCACTGGATCTCCGCAGGCCACAGGCCATTTCTTCAGCTTCCAGTGGCTACCATATTCCTTAATCAATGACCTTCTTCACCATCGAATCTAACTATAGCCAGTAGACTTTCCCTCACATCCCTTTGCTTCAGATGCCCTGAATTGTTTTCTGACCGACTGCCCTACCTACTCCATCTCATATTCCCAATTAATCTTTCCACTTCAGGTCTAGCTCAATACCAACACCTGCAGCCTGTCTCTTACCATTTGTAGAGAGTATTCACAGATTAGGGGACCCGTAGATGGACATCTGTGGGTGCCCGTTATTCTGCCTCCCACCGTCTCCCATGGCTTCTTTGTTGCCCTTGGTCCTTCTGGCTCAGTTTAAGCTACACAAGCACAAGGAGATGAAGCCAGCTAATATTCCTGTGACTTTCCTTGGAACACAATGGAGAATTTTACCAGCCAGTGGGACGAGTCCTCCTAGTAAGAGATGTTGAGTATCCAGATAGTAAAAGCCTTTATTCCTTTATTAAATGCTTGCCGGATGCCAAGAGCCAAGTGGTTGTGAGTGATGATAAAAGTCAGAGGTTGTAAACACCCAGTGTGGGTGATAGGAACCAAACTTAGGTCCTCTGGAAGAGGTGTGCACACTCTTAACCATAGAACCATCCAGAAACAGCCCCTGGATTTGTAATTTTTATTTGTAATTTTTAGAAATCTCAATCTCTCTCTCTCCCTCTCTCTCTTTCTCTTTGTGTTATCTCTGTCTCTTTCCCTCCCCCCTCTTTCTCTCTTTCTCTCTCTCTCTCTCTCTCTCTCTCTCTCTCTCTCTCTCTGCTGTTCTGTTTCTCTCTGTTTCTCTCTCCCTCCTTCCCTCGCTCTGTCCCTCTGTCTCTCTCTGTCTCTCTCTCCCTCTCTCTCCCTCTCACATATTTGAGTGCCTGCAGATTCAGAAGTAGGTAACAGAGTCTCAGGATCTGTATTATTACAGAGGTGTAAAGCCAACTGATAAGTCCTGGAAGCTGAGTGGGTCCTTTGGAGGAGCAGCAAGTGCTCTTGACCAGAGTCATCTCTCCAACGCCAGGTTTGTCATTTTTAAGAACTATAAGTGAGTATAAAGGAACAGACCTTGTTCAGCTCTCCCTCCCTTCCTTCTCTCAGCCTGACTGACTCCATGTCACCAAGTAGGCACAACTGTCCTACTGAATAAACATATGCTCCTTATCTGCATCTGGATATAAATTATAAGGATCACTTGTAGTTACACTTTTTATATACACAACTGATTCTCTGTGACTGGACTAAAAATGGGTTCCCAGGTCAGGACATTGGGTATTTATGAGTTTCCAGGGCAAAAGCTGAACTAGCTGTGTTGAAGGATATGTTCATTTTTAGTGTAAAGAGATGCTATCAAGTTGCCATCCAAGTATGCAAATCCATTTATTCTCTGTGCACAGCCGTTCTTCACTGTCCGGATGGCACTTTAGCGAGATCGTTCTCAGTCTGATGGCTTTGATATGCATTTCTTCTTTTTTTAAAAAATTACTTAAAAATGATGTTTATGTTTGCATATCTGTGTGTATGTGCATGCAGGTGCCTGCAGGGGCCAGAAGCATCAGCTCCCCTGATGAAACTGGTGTTACAGGCAATTTACAACTGCCTGACATAGAGCTGGGGATCCAACTCCAGTCCTCTGCAAGAGCAGTAAGTGCTCTTAACCACTGAGCTATCTCTCCAGCCCCTTGATTTGCAATTTTTTAATAAGCATGACTTTTAAAAAAAAAGTTCCTGTGTGCCTGTTTGTGTTTACATCTTTGATCCATCTGGGATTTATTTTGAGACTAGAACTTTATACTGTCTCAGCAGTGAAGACCTGTGCCTGACTGATAACAACATCACAAGCCATCAAGTACAAATACAAAACTCATGCTCAAATAAACCAACACTGAACGTATGTTAATGGCTGAGATAAAACAAGGACAACAGATGCTGAAAACGATGCAGAGGCACTGACCCTCATTGCTGTGGAGACAGTGGCATGAAAGCTCAAAGAGCTGGACTGCTGTTTTGCACCTCTTGTATCAGCTAGTTTTTTCCTCAGCTCCGTGGCCAAATATCCAACAGAAGTAATTTAGAGGAAAAGGCTAACTTTGGTTCTCAGTTTGAGGGGATAAGTCTGTCACAGGGGAGGCATAGGAGGCTGTTCATATCTCAGTCAGCCAGGAGACACAATTTTCTCTCTTCTTTTTCCCTCTTTTTATTCTGTCTTGACCTGCAGAAATGGAGCTACACACACGCAGGGTAAATATCTTCCCTCCGCCACTCGCATTAACCTTCTCTGAAAACACCCTCTCAGGCTCACCCAAAGGTGAGCCTCACTAATGGCCAAGCTGGTGATCCAAAGCAACCATCACATCACTCACCCTACCACAGGGCAATTGCACACCTGGGCAGAGAAAAGCGACTTCCTGTGCTAGGTTTCTGTCACTACAGCCAAACCCCAGCTGCAGACTAGTTAGGTAAATGGATGCTTGATTGCTTTAGTTTATGGGTCTAGAGGTTCAAGTCCAAGGCTTGGGGGCCTCAAATTAAGACAGCACAGTGTGACAGGAGCATGGGCCGGTGGGAGAATTCATACACTGGGGTCAGGAAAGGAGGAGAAACAGGGGTTCTAAAATCCCCATATCCTCCAGGACCCGAGGACCTCTCATTTGGCTCCAGCTCTTAGAGGTTCAAAGCACCTCCCCAAAGTACAACCCTGGGGAGCAGCATTTATATGTGGGCCTGGGAGGGAGGGGGATTTATTCACGGTCTACACACAGACTCAATAAATGAAATAAAAAGGTGCGATCATGAGGGCCATTGCAGTTGTTACTTTTGCAGTTTCCTGTGAACCTATAACTATTT